ACCAGCTTGGTTCAGAAAGGGCGAACTGAAGGTGGTGAAAAGTTCAGTCGTAGTGCATCTAGTCCACACAGCACATCGCATAGATACTAATAAAGCTTCCGATGTTATTCATCGTGTTACAAAAACAACATATGTAGCTCACCAATGCATGCTCAACATACAGGAGGCTGTCGCAATAAGATTGACCAAGCCAGAACTCTGAATTTAGAAAGAACATATCCAAGCGTTATTTCTCCGTTGGACTTCAACAAACCAAAGGCCACTCCTACCATCTTATTCGTTATCTTTTGGTTCACTGTCATATAATTCATCTGTATATGTATCATCTCAATACTGAGAAATATCGTGGGCTGAAAGAAGTTGGAAATATGGACCACTGAATTCTGACCCACTGGCTAGCTCAATGATAACGTGCTGACCACGGAACCCGAAGGTCGCGCGTTCGATCCCTGGCAGGGTCCTGAGTGCGCACTACTGATGCGTCCCATACTAGTTGGAAGAAACAGCTGTTCAATGATCCCAGGTTTCATTTGTTCCTCCAACTGATGTCAGTCCACGATGAATAATAACTTGCAATTTAAAAAAGACAAGTCGATTTCCTTACAATCCTTAATCTTACGCCAGTTCCAAAATGTACCTGCCCCTAGCATGGCTTGATTTCACGCTCTAAAGATTCACTTCATAATTGTAGAATCTTATGGCAGAATCCTATTGCGAAGAATATTCTCCATTGGTTAGATTGTTGCTTTTTATAAACTAGAATCGTTTGACAGCTTGTTTCTGAACAGCCTGTCAACAAGACCGAGTAGACGGTGACCAGACTGAAAGAGACTTAAACAATCAGGATAGTGAAACATAAAAGGCTACCAAGATAAGAAATTTAAGCTCGATTTATGACGTATAGTCCAGTGCGCGTTACCTATCCATTTTCCAGGTCGCTTGGCAATATGTATAGACTTTACTATTTTGTTAACAAACTAAAAACCAGACTGCCTTATTAGAATGCATTACTTGAATGTTGTGTAAAAGGAGATAGAATGAGTTGAGCCAACGGTTCACACAGTAGAATATGAGTGAAATACTAACCAGTTTACCTTATAGGAAGAAAGATTCGTTAAGTCAATCACTAGGTTGCTTTGTAAAACTCTCATACACAAAAAAACCGTTTCACTAATGACGAAATATAATTTGCATGCAGTAAAAAACACACTGATTTATATGAAGAAGGGCTACCTTGTCAAACTGCCAAACAAAGGAGACCTAAGTACTTTCATGAACTGGTGAGGAATAATGCTCCACCTCTGTCCACCCCAAGCAAAATATTTAGCCGCATCATTCTGGAGAGACTAGAAAATGCTCTCCATTCGAAATTACAACCAGAACAGGCTGACTTCACAAAAAACAAATCATGTGCAATCCAAATCACAACGCTACGCTACACATCATCGTATAACAGAGCATAGAATGCCAGTCAACTGGATCTCTACCTCAACTTCATCACCTTTAAAAAGGCCTTCGATCGAGGCGTCGACCGAGAAGTAATTTGGCAGGCAGTTGCTTCAACACTACGGTCTCAGTACCACAAACCTTTGTCAACCTCATTCAACACCAGCTATATGATGATCATGATGACGCTACATGCCAAGTGATTCACAATGGAAAGCTCAGTAATGCCTTTGGAATGAAGTGAAGACAGTGGACAGGAGCAAGACAAGACAAGGTTGCCGCCCACCTTTACTGATCATCTACTTCATTGTGGTCGATTCGACTCAACTCGTCTGGATCAAGCAACAAACAACTGTGAGGAGATGGGCATACGCTCACTGTTTCACCGATGAAAAGACCCCAGAAGAAGATTTGGATTTCGCCGATGATCGTTTATGTCTGATATCGCACAAACTCGAAAGTGTATAGGCGAAAACCAACAAGTTGGCAGAAGAGGCAGGGCAGCCAAGGAAGACGGCACTCCATTCAGGTGAGCGTAGAGAAGACACATGTGATGGAGATACCCAACCACCACCAACAACAAGCACCAATCACCATTAGTGGCAGAAATATAAAGCAAGTAGTCTCTTCCATTAACCTAACTACCTACCTAGGCAGCATCGTTTCAATTACAGGTAGCAAAGGCATAGATGAGGATGTCAAAGTCGGGGTCGGAAAGACAGCAGGAAAAGCTTTCCTGCATTAATCTGAGGTCAGTTTGGAGATCTACAGCACTGTACTGCACTCAGCATAAAGCGTGAACAACATCCGGATTTTCAACACCACTAATGTCAGTCAAGTAAGTCGGTGCTTCAATGTGATGGTTGAGAGACTTGGGGCGTTACAAAAAGCATTTCCGACAAACTACAGACATACATTAACACCTGCCGCCTATGCTCGGTACTGGAGACCAGATGGCCAGAATGATAAGAATAAGGCAAGGCGAAACTCTGGCCTAGCAACGAACCATCCAACCAAGAACCCATCACCCAACAAATATGCAGAAGAAGGAAGTGGAGATGGATTGAATTGGACGTAAACTAAGAAGACCATTCGGGGACACCATGCGTCCGGCCAGGCCATCGAGTGGAACCCAAACGGGGAACGACGAATTGGGCATCCGAGGGTGACATGGGGGAGATGGTGTGAAGAAGAAATAAAAGCTTATGGACAGTCGTGGAGCCAGGTTCAAATGACTGCAGAGAAGAGAGTTAAGTGGTGACGTGCTACTGAAGCCCTACGTTCCACTAGGAACTCAAGAGACAAATAAAAATAATAATATGGATCTTGAACTGATACAATGTGTTCTCAGCTTTGTCGTTAAAGGTGAGTTCCATTTGATAGACAGACCCATTATTTGTCGTACTGTAACTTACACGTATTTCATTATTCTACATCTGCCTCACCAGTTTAAAACAAGTCCAACAGACAACTAAAGGTGGTGGCTGTTTGTGATACAAGCCAAACTTAATCACAACTGTATTCACTCCTTATCACCTTTATAATTCTGAGTATGTTTTTGATTTTCTTTCTCTGTCCTGATCCACTTTGATATTGTACTTCTATTGTCCACTATCTCTTATTATGCTGCTGTGTAGGGTAGAAATTGGAACAAAGGCATTAAGGTGGAAGTTTCTTCGTTGACCGACTCACAAGATATAATTAAATTGTGGCCGCGTATGTCTGCACCTGCTTTCAGCAAACAGGCGACAGTAAAGCCTGTCTATGTTCGGTTGGAAGATGAGGGTGTCAAGTACGTATTTAGGGAGGAGTTAGCTAAGGATTTATATGAAAATGACAGGAATGCTCATCCTGAGGAAACCTGGCGTCAAATTAAGTTCGCTGTAGAAACATCGGTTGAGACAGTTGGCAACCTACACGTGAAGGTTAGCAAACGCCATTGGATTTTGACAATGTCAACCTAACTGGCTGATGCGGGAAGACTGATTCCAGCTGGCTCCAACCACGATTAAAGGTGAAAATAACTCAAAGGTAAGTTGACCGGGAGTCTGCGTCGATCGCGAGCAGTGGTGGATGGTGAAAGCGAGCGAAAGAGATGGGAAATGCACCAGCCTTGGGTAACACTGGGCAACTATTTACTCTTGTTAAGGCTACCGGCAAGAAGACGATGGTTAATGAAACCACCACCGAAAAGGACCAGACAGTGATAACCTCCCAGGAGCAACTGCTAAGAAGGGTGGCGGAACACTTTAGCTGAAACGATGGAAAGCAGTAGGGGTTAACAGTTTGCCACCAGAAGTTAAGGATGGATGTAGGAAATTGATGATTAGAGTGATAGAGGTACTAGGTAGTGTATGAGAACTAGAGATTTTGTATACTACTGAGAACTGTGAACCAATGCACTTGTGTGCGAGTTTTCCTGTGACAATCAGTTTAACTAACATCATGTCCAAGATCCTGCGACCCAAGTTATCCGACACCTAGCTGGAGCTCCAGAAGTGTCCGAATTTGATAGGATATGTGAATGAATACAACTTCAGGTAGTTCTGACTTCACAGAGATTGACTTACTCTCTGGAGGTTATCTGGTTGACTTGGAGCACGCAGACCACATTGTCCTGTTAAGTGAAGACGCTGACAAAATGCAGGGTCTACTGAACGCGTTGAGCGGGAACTTGAATATGTCTAGCATGTGTTTCGTACCTGTCAAATGTAAGATGATGCTCCGGGACTGATCTGCAACTACCCCTTATTTGAAGGACAGGGCATAAGGTGGTGGAACTTGTCGACCGCCTCACCTAGTGTGTCGCATACTAAGCCTTACACTCCATTGCTCCTGGTTCAGCACGTTTCATTGGTATCCATGAAACCGTTTTGAGAAGGGCGGAAAATGTACTAGAACGTATTAAAATGAAGTCTTGCAACGCACAAACTAACTAGGGTGTTAACAAATCAGTGTACTTTAAATACTAACAACTGAAAATGTACGTATATTGTTACCTCAACGTAAGATATTCCAGAGGCATACATATAAGGTTTACCAACATATTTTGCGTTTGTACATAGACTGCACTGACTTCGTCTAGCAACTTTACCACTCCTCTCACAAACTCACGGGCAAAAATGATTTTTTGTAGTGTCTAGTATTTAGTAAATCATGTCCCGCTGTTCAGAAACCCGTGGGGGTTTTCTTTTCTGAATTCATTTGACAAGCCAGATATGCTGCTAGGAGTCAATTCCTTGGTCAAATACCGTCATACCCACTAGCATCTTCAATAAGTAGGCAGGATGCGCCAAGCATTTAGGCATCTAAAGAAAATCTTTAGAATCCTACGTAAAAGTGCCAATAGCAGTACCTGTCTACGGCAACTATACTCAAACAACCAATGTATCAATAAGTGTCTACTTTAAACACAAAGGGACGTTATCTGGCTCAGCCATTACAGAAGTAAAACTGATAGACATCAATAAACCACAATACTACTACTCAGTATTGAGAACCAGTAGGCGGCTCTCACCACTTCTGGTCTTAGATTTCAGTCGTGTGAGTAAAAGCGGGTTTGGCAATAACATCAAATTTGTATGAACTCATAATAAGTTCGCCAGAACCTTAAATCAATAACCAGCATAACCTCGCTTTCACGCTTACACCTTAAAATGAAACGATCACTGAGTCCATTTTATAAAGGTTCTGTGACTAATTTCGACAAATGATTTATTTTGCCTGATATCACACTAGATAGACCTAACATTGATAATTAAGGATACAAAGGCAGTTAATATACTGAAAACAGGTGTGTTTCGCAGGAAGTGTGATTCAAACAATAACGTGAACCGAAACCACCAAGCCCTCATGAAAAGCTTTTACAAATGGCGTTATATGAAGAGTATTTGAATTTAAAATGATTTAATTAAATGGCTACAATAACATTTTTAGACAGGAATCACGTGAAATCTAGACTCGACAGATATATGGTTTATTTGACAAAAGTAGTTATCCTTCCCAGTTGAACTATCAGGCATGAACATAAACAGGAAAGATTTTACAGTTAAGTCTGACGCAAATAGTCATCGAAATTAGTGCATCAAAAGATATAATGACGACAATTATCACACATGTTCAACGGAGGTATTTTGAGACTAAAATTTTGTAGTGTCCACTAAATTTGATCACACATTAATGAAAAGGTATGGAGAGCAATTTCGGCGCTACGTTCAAGCGTAAAACAGCATGAATATGGACCAGAGCATTACTGCACACCTTCTTGTTCAGATGTCCACAACTAAAAAGAGCTCATTATTAAGATAACTAACTTACAGTTAAATTGTCACGAAGCAGCTGCATCACCAACGTACTATCCTTGTAGGATTCACTCTCCACTGATACCTGGCCTAACTGTGCAACTGCGTCATCGAACGCGGCTCTAGCAAGGCGGCATGCTTTATCCGGATTGTTTTCGATTTCGTAGTAAAATACAGAATAGTTGAGGGCTAAACCCAAGCGTATTGGATGAGTTGGAGGTAGATCTTTAACTGCCGCTTCTGTCGCTTCCCTATAGGCTTCATCAGACTGCACTACGGCTTCAGCACGTTCATCACCAGTTTTGACTTCAGCTAAATACCTATAGTAATCGCCCTTCATCTTTTTGTAAAAAACGATGCCTTCACAAGTTTTCTCATTATCGACAAGATGTTTGTTTAATATATCCTAGCACATCGTACTTAGAAATTCTGAAACTTACAATGACTTCTTTGCATACAGCATCTAATTCGTTCTCGATAACCTTACGATACTCTTCAGCTTGTTTCCTTTTATTGCCATCCAGTTTCTGCTCTATGCTTGAAATAACACGCCAGGAGGATCTGCGAGAACCAACCACATTTTTGTAAGCAACCGAAAGCAAGTTTCTTTCTTCGTTACTCAGTTCTTTTGATAACTCAGTAACTTTCTTCATAGCACTTGCCATATCTTGGAATCTCTCAGCTTGCTCTGCGAGCTTCGCCAAATGAATTAGAGTGTCTTGGTCGGAGATGTTAGAACGAAGAACCCAAGAGTCATCACACATCTTTAATATTACGGTAACACCTTGGAAAATGCAACTTTGGTTGTACGAAACTTGGGATCACAATGCAAAGTTGACTGCCTAAAATTCCACCACATGAAGCAATTGGTTAAGCTATGCAAAGTCACAATACAAGGTTATGCTTGCTAATAAATACTAAACTTCAAACAACTAGTAGAGAAATAGCCGTTTCCTCTCAATTAACCAAGTAGCACATAGACACTTCTAGTCTGTAAACTTTACTTCCGACGAAAGCGGGTTATAAGGTGTTTGTTGCAGAAAAATGTCATATACCGTCCAACCTTGGTTAAAGAGGAGTTGGTAATCCGTTTATGCTGATGCCACTTGGAATGCTTAGCCCTAACTGGAAACCAACATAACACGAGAATAGACATGCGGGCAGAACTAAGAGAGATAACACTATCACGAGCCTTAAGAAAACTGCACTCGGCAACTGCGTGGATGCATATGCACTGCGCAGTGAGCCACACTTATTGTACTAGGGCTAACAACTACCTGGCTTCCCAAGCATCGGCGAGTGGAGCGGGACCTACCGATGAAGAGTCGTGTACCTAGACCAGTGAACCGCAGGTCTAGTGAACGTCGAATGGAACCTGTATATATTGAAGAGAAATATACGCCTACCCTGGTAAAATCGAGTGGAACTGTAGAATATTACCATCACACATAAATAACTCAGTGACACATCAGAACTTTAGATTAACCTCCCAGTATCCTAAACCATAACCTTGGGATTACTCTAACTTTTCACTCTTCGAGGCCACTACAAGAAAATTCTAAAACCACAGTAGAACTAATTAGGCGTGAATCTACGTTTCATATAAAGACAACAACTGGAACTTCTTAACGGAGGTGGTGTCAGCTCTTCCGGTGAACACATTCAAGGGGAAACTAGATCTTTAGATACTGCACAGATTAACACAGGTCTAATTGACCTACAAACCGTTTTCGTGGAAGACTACTTTTGCTATGCTTGCCTACATCGCCTTTCTATCATGGTAAATTGATGTTCAGTTTCGTTACATAACCCCCCTAACTGATTTCTTACAAGCTCACAGTTTTCATCTCGCGTAATTGGCGGCGGTTTTCTAAGTCGGGAATGTGCGGAAACTTCTAGTTTTCAGTAATAAGGGACATAGGTCGAGGACCTATATGATTCCTTGCGAATGATAATTTTGTTGTGCTCAAATATGACTAAGTAATAGCACAATGTGTTGATACCATCCACTTCAACAAAGTATCACTGGCTAACGACTCTAAATGAGAAATAAGTTTCTAGAACTATATGTGATTTAACTGGAATCCGAAACATTTTTAGAATTTTCTGCGAACATCTCTAGAAGGCAGGAGCAGGCAAATATTCTAGTAAATTATTACTTGAGATATACAATATGGAATTATCCTACTGTAATAAGACAATTGGAAAAGACCTAATCGATGTCAGACTCCAAATGCCTTTGGATCTTCCCTAAATATATGATACGCAAGTTGGTTACCTGAATATTTAAGATGTTTAAAATGCTGGGGATGAAATCCAAAACATCCCCACTGAAGATGTTAAGCTTCCCACAAGAGATTTCCCACTATGGTGGCTGGTAAATACATAGAAATTCTCAATACACAATTTTAAAACATGCCCAAATTAAAACTGCGTTAGTTGTAAGATATGAATCACATTTTACTCGACTAAAAGCCTAGTCGTTTGAACTTTTAAACATTAGTACACAAACCAGATGATGTAAACATCATCCAGCAATGTATCACAAGCGTCTTGAAAAATGCTTACGCTGGCAATTCAACGACACGAATTTAAGACAAACAATGCAGCTTGACAATCGGATGTCTTCACGACCAACAAGTGGTTGCCTAGATAACCGCGCGCCGACCCGGTTGACAGGAATCGAAAAACAAGTGGAGCATCTAAACACATTTGCTAACTAGAACACTAAAGGTTGTATAGTAGGAGTAAAAAACACACATGTTTAGGCCATTGCAGTGCAAAATGCTACTGCTCACAAAAGACACCTCTCCGAGACCAGATAAAATCCATGTGGTGGTACTTCAGGAAGGAGCATTAATCTTATCTGAACCTTTAAATAAGTTATGTAATGATCATCTAAATTAAGAAAAAGTGCCCGATCTTTGGAATTTGGAGCACATAACGCCAAACTCCAAGAGAGGTCAACGAAACTAAAGGAAGAAATACAGACCGGTGACCGTTTTATTCATACCTTCAAAAGTAATGGAATCGTTAGTGTGTGATGAACTGAAGGGTCACCTTATATTTGTCTACTTGCTTACACACCAGAAGGACGGGTTTAGAACAGGGTATTCCTACATTAGAGACCTGCTCCTCGCAGTAGATAGATGAACTCGTGTTGTTGCTCGTCGAGGTCGGATTGATGTTATTTATCTAGGCTTTGTATTTGATCGTGTTAATCACATCTGCATTATGGATAAGTAAAAACTAATCGGGATGAGACCACCTCCCATTGACGAGGCCGTTCACTTAGAGTTCGAGTGAGCTCCTCCATATCTGAAGAAAGAGAATGTCCTAGTGGCGTTTCTCTAGGTTCAGTACTACGGCCTCTTCTTTTTCCAATGTATATAAAAAACTTGCCCCAGCAGGTTTCTTCCGAAATCCTATTTAGCCGACGACGTGAAACTATGGACAGAAATCAAAAGTGAAGGAGACAGTTTTTCTCTACAGGAAGACTTGACTTCACAACTGGGCAGCCAATAATAGGGTTGCATTTAGTCCTGAAAATGCGAGGTGCTACACGTAAGGTGTTACGTTTGTCAGGCACATAACCTAAACGCCATGGGACTTAAAGCGTCACCGGCGGAGAAGGATTCAGGCATTTTAATCCCTCGAGACCTAAAATCTTTTGCTAGCTGTGACAGAAACGCATTTCGTGGAAACTTGGTGTTAGTAACCGTTAGAGGAAATTTCGGACAGTTCGATCGTAGGTGTTTTCACGAAATCTCCAACAGCTTCGTAGGGCCTTGCCTGGAGTTTGGGGCCATCGTGTTCCCCTTATCTTTGTAGAAGGACAAATTAATCTTAGAATGCATCCAGAGGCGCTCGACCAAATCCGTTCGACGACTCAAGTCTAAAATGTATGAAGGACAACTGGCTGTTCCGGACCTGTGTCCTCTAGAATATAAAAGATTATTAGGAGACCTGGTGATGAATCATAACTTTCTGATCACCCCTGAGCACTGGCCCCTTCACTTATTAAATCTTATCTGTAGCACTTATCAGAACACAAATAACGGATACATTTAGCGCATTCCCATCACATAGAAAAGTGTATCAGAAAAACTATTCGAGCTCCGCCCAGGTAAGTACCCTGGGTGTGACAACCTAAGACGGGTAGTCCTAAAATACTGCTCCAAGACAATCAGGAAATCAGTCTGTAGCCTCTTCAAGTATTCGCTGGGGCAATCCAGGCATCGCAACGAATGGATATGCGCTAACGTGCCAGACGTTTTCAAGGCAGGAAACAAAAAATTTCCGGGAGACTCAGGGAAATCGACCCACTCACCATACCGCCGAAATTACTGGACAGCCTAAAAGCCTTGGCAGTTGCTCCTGGGAGGTTATCACTGTCTGGTCCTTTTCGGTGGTGGTTTCATTAACCATCGTCTTCTTGCCGGTAGCCTTAACAAGAGTAAATAGTTGCCCAGTGTTACCCAAGGCTGGTGCATTTCCCATCTCTTTCGCTCGCTTTCACCATCCACCACTGCTCGCGATCGACGCAGACTCCCGGTCAACTTACCTTTGAGTTATTTTCACCTTTAATCGTGGTTGGAGCCAGCTGGAATCAGTCTTCCCGCATCAGCCAGTTAGGTTGACATTGTCAAAATCCAATGGCGTTTGCTAACCTTCACGTGTAGGTTGCCAACTGTCTCAACCGATGTTTCTACAGCGAACTTAATTTGACGCCAGGTTTCCTCAGGATGAGCATTCCTGTCATTTTCATATAAATCCTTAGCTAACTCCTCCCTAAATACGTACTTGACACCCTCATCTTCCAACCGAACATAGACAGGCTTTACTGTCGCCTGTTTGCTGAAAGCAGGTGCAGACATACGCGGCCACAATTTAATTATATCTTGTGAGTCGGTCAACGAAGAAACTTCCACCTTAATGCCTTTGTTCCAATTTCTACCCTACACAGCAGCATAATAAGAGATAGTGGACAATAGAAGTACAATATCAAAGTGGATCAGGACAGAGAAAGAAAATCAAAAACATACTCAGAATTATAAAGGTGATAAGGAGTGAATACAGTTGTGATTAAGTTTGGCTTGTATCACAAACAGCCACCACCTTTAGTTGTCTGTTGGACTTGTTTTAAACTGGTGAGGCAGATGTAGAATAATGAAATACGTGTAAGTTACAGTACGACAAATAATGGGTCTGTCTATCAAATGGAACTCACCTTTAACGACAAAGCTGAGAACACATTGTATCAGTTCAAGATCCATATTATTATTTTTATTTGTCTCTTGAGTTCCTAGTGGAACGTAGGGCTTCAGTAGCACGTCACCACTTAACTCTCTTCTCTGCAGTCATTTGAACCTGGCTCCACGACTGTCCATAAGCTTTTATTTCTTCTTCACACCATCTCCCCCATGTCACCCTCGGATGCCCAATTCGTCGTTCCCCGTTTGGGTTCCACTCGATGGCCTGGCCGGACGCATGGTGTCCCCGAATGGTCTTCTTAGTTTACGTCCAATTCAATCCATCTCCACTTCCTTCTTCTGCATATTTGTTGGGTGATGGGTTCTTGGTTGGATGGTTCGTTGCTAGGCCAGAGTTTCGCCTTGCCTTATTCTTATCATTCTGGCCATCTGGTCTCCAGTACCGAGCATAGGCGGCAGGTGTTAATGTATGTCTGTAGTTTGTCGGAAATGCTTTTTGTAACGCCCCAAGTCTCTCAACCATCACATTGAAGCACCGACTTACTTGACTGACATTAGTGGTGTTGAAAATCCGGATGTTGTTCACGCTTTATGCTGAGTGCAGTACAGTGCTGTAGATCTCCAAACTGACCTCAGATTAATGCAGGAAAGCTTTTCCTGCTGTCTTTCCGACCCCGACTTTGACATCCTCATCTATGCCTTTGCTACCTGTAATTGAAACGATGCTGCCTAGGTAGGTAGTTAGGTTAATGGAAGAGACTACTTGCTTTATATTTCTGCCACTAATGGTGATTGGTGCTTGTTGTTGGTGGTGGTTGGGTATCTCCATCACCTGTGTCTTCTCTACGCTCACCTGAATGGAGTGCCGTCTTCCTTGGCTGCCCTGCCTCTTCTGCCAACTTGTTGGTTTTCGCCTATACACTTTCGAGTTTGTGCGATATCAGACATAAACGATCATCGGCGAAATCCAAATCTTCTTCTGGGGTCTTTTCATCGGTGAAACAGTGAGCGTATGCCCATCTCCTCACAGTTGTTTGTTGCTTGATCCAGACGAGTTGAGTCGAATCGACCACAATGAAGTAGATGATCAGTAAAGGTGGGCGGCAACCTTGTCTTGTCTTGCTCCTGTCCACTGTCTTCACTTCATTCCAAAGGCATTACTGAGCTTTCCATTGTGAATCACTTGGCATGTAGCGTCATCATGATCATCATATAGCTGGTGTTGAATGAGGTTGACAAAGGTTTGTGGTACTGAGACCGTAGTGTTGAAGCAACTGCCTGCCAAATTACTTCTCGGTCGACGCCTCGATCGAAGGCCTTTTTAAAGGTGATGAAGTTGAGGTAGAGATCCAGTTGACTGGCATTCTATGCTCTGTTATACGATGATGTGTAGCGTAGCGTTGTGATTTGGATTGCACATGATTTGTTTTTTGTGAAGCCAGCCTGTTCTGGTTGTAATTTCGAATGGAGAGCATTTTCTAGTCTCTCCAGAATGATGCGGCTAAATATTTTGCTTGGGGTGGACAGAGGTGGAGCATTATTCCTCACCAGTTCATGAAAGTACTTAGGTCTCCTTTGTTTGGCAGTTTGACAAGGTAGCCCTTCTTCATATAAATCAGTGTGTTTTTTACTGCATGCAAATTATATTTCGTCATTAGTGAAACGGTTTTTTTGTGTATGAGAGTTTTACAAAGCAACCTAGTGATTGACTTAACGAATCTTTCTTCCTATAAGGTAAACTGGTTAGTATTTCACTCATATTCTACTGTGTGAACCGTTGGCTCAACTCATTCTATCTCCTTTTACACAACATTCAAGTAATGCATTCTAATAAGGCAGTCTGGTTTTTAGTTTGTTAACAAAATAGTAAAGTCTATACATATTGCCAAGCGACCTGGAAAATGGATAGGTAACGCGCACTGGACTATACGTCATAAATCGAGCTTAAATTTCTTATCTTGGTAGCCTTTTATGTTTCACTATCCTGATTGTTTAAGTCTCTTTCAGTCTGGTCACCGTCTACTCGGTCTTGTTGACAAGCTGTTCAGAAACAAGCTGTCAAACGATTCTAGTTTATAAAAAGCAACAATCTAACCAATGGAGAATATTCTTCGCAATAGGATTCTGCCATAAGATTCTACAATTATGAAATGGATAGTAACCTGATTATTTGTTACAGTGTTATCACGTCTCTCCCTACATTAGCCTATTTTGGTTCACTTGCCAATGTGTCGTATAAGTGTCTTTTGCCTTTGTGCGCACTCTTCTTCACTTCTTCGTCCAGTCTAGTGTTTTATACGTCGTACGGAGTTCCTTATTTCATTGTTCACCCCTGCACTGCGCTTCATTGTTTCATCCTCAGTCCCACCGTTTTCTCACCCCTTCTCCGCCGGCTTCCGTGTATCTGTGGCGATCCATCTCTTGTATTCCTTCTTTTTCCTCCCTCTGATACAGTTATGCAGGTTTGCTTCCACGT